AAATCATAAAACAAAATCGGACTACTAATGATGCTTCACAAATACCTATTCTATCACATATTAATGGTCACTCTGATGAGAATGGTAGCACCGACTCTTTAAATCTAGAGCAGGTACAAAGTGATATTTCCCCTGAAATAAATTCTAACAATACTCCTAAGCAGGTAGAAAATACATCTGATGTCGCATCTAATCCGGATATATGCCAGGAGTCGAAGAATCAATGCTTTACATCACCTATCTATATGAAGCCTAAATTGTTAGAAGAAAAGGCGGTTGATGATTTTCTGGATTTGCAAAACAAGGAAATAGTTAGTAATATGATGAGAGAGAGAAATAGAGAAAAAAAATTTCAAGATCAAGAATCGATACAAAAAACATCTTCTGAATCGGAGCAAATGTCCATTGATCAAATACACAATGCTATTTCTTCCGAAATAAAGATTCCTTATGATCAGAAAGTAGAACGAGGCCTAATGCGTGAGTTATCTGTCTGTGCTAAGGAAAATCTTACCATACAAGAAATAAATGTGCAAATTCCCGATCTTCTTCTAGAAAAAATATTAATAGGTTCTGATGAAGTTACGGCTCAGATTATAGTAGACTTGTTTAATATAGCGATGAAAACTAGACAAAAGGAGAATTTATGTTGGTATTGTTACACTAAAGCGTATGAAAATCGAGTTAATGATATTAAATCCAAGAATAAAATTGACGATCAATCAGCGAGAACTTTGGTATACAATGAAATCAAATTGCTCCTTCCCAATATTAGTGATGTAAATTTGCGTAAGAGAAGTTTTAAAGCTAAAAAAGTATATATGTTATTTGAAGGAATAGGAATAGATAAGATTAGGCAAATAACTTACAGTGCAAATGCTATTTCAAGTTTAAAAGATGATCAGATTCAAAACATCATAAATCATTTTCCCAAAAAACAGACTAACCCAGACGATAAAAATAATTGCCAAAAAGAGATCGGCGTTTTGAAACAGAACGCGCACGTGACCGAATCATCTAACTCGAATGACGCATCAAATATTAAGGTAAGTATACCTACTGAATCGTCTCATACCTCTAATTCAGAAGATATGATAAATGAGCCCGATGATCTAGAAGAAAAACGAAATCTTGTTATCAAAATAGCAGATTTCAAGCCTATCATGTTCGAAGCCAAACCTGATCCAGAATTAATTATCAAATCCGTGTTAGAGTATTTCACATACTTGAAATTCCGAAATAGTTTTAGAGGAATTGATAATTATAGTTTTGCATCACCTCAGCCATGGAGCTCACCATGCCCTATTTGCAATGGAAAACATGGGAATTATGGACTACATGGCGAATGGAATAGAAATGGAACAGAATATTGCCTTACCTGCAATAGTTCAAGCAATGAACTCAAGTTCATGATCGTAGCATAGACCAGTATTAACATGCGATTGTGTAAATGTTGGAAGGCTTATACTGAAATCCCAATATAACCGTAATAGCATAGATTAATATCATTTTCTCGCAAGCTCGAAAAAAGAAATGTAGTAATCAATTCAGGGTTCACCTACTTCCTGGCTTCTAGTAATAAAATCACGAGAAGGCAGTTCGCAAACTACATTGTAAAAAATCGCGTAAAAATAAAAAATTGGGAGCCTAGTGGATCCCTCCCTTTATTATTATAAAAAATTATATTGTAGGGACGACAACATAATATACAAATAAAAAATATATCACTGTTACGCGGCTTCTCATGATAAATCACTCGAAGCCACTCAAATAGGTAAACCTATTTTTTTTGAAAATTAATTTTTTGCGGCATTTTTCTTGGCGAAATTTCAGCGAACTTGGTTCGCCCAAAATCACGTGGTTATTTTTTGCGGCATTTTTCTTAAATATAGATAATTATTTTGTGCCTTCGAGCAGGAACTGCGAGAAGGTGAGTGCGAATATAAATAAAAAATTATTTTTTGGGGTATAAATAGGGTTTTATTATTACATTGTTCACAAAGAGTTACAAAACAACATTCTACGATAACGAGAAACTAAAATTAAGTTGGTTTTCATAAGATAGCCCACATAAAGAACACCTTGAGGTCCTATAACACTTTTTAATCTGACATTTTATTCCTTTAGTTAAATCTACCCAATTTTTAAAACTGATGAAATCTTGTACATGTTCATTGGTACTATGTAAGGGAGTAGTTGAAAAACTATCCGTAGAAAAAATAGTTAATTTTTCTAGATCATGCTCTTCAAGTTCATGCGCAGAGGCTCTTTCCCTTCGAAAGTATTTCTCATATGATCGTGAAGGCGCTTATTCTGAATTTTCTTAATACAAATACAACAACATGAAATGCACCCATTGACTAAAAATAACCTTCCAGTTCAAAATATGATGGGGCAAAGATTTGGGCCGAACCGTCTATGAATAGGGAGTCTCATACAAAGATTTTCGATATATTTTGGATTGAATATGTGTATATCTTGAAAATAAATTGCAACTATAGTAAACCAGTTTTTTTTTCAAAATATATATGAGCAAAAAATAACATTATTGCTAACTTATCTTATGGGCGGGAGCTTGCTTATTTTATACTTCATATTCGTTCGGTCTGAGAACCGGTCAGAAGAAGAGCTACTTGATTAGTGATTACGTTACCCAAATTCAACGCCAGTTTTTTCTCCATAAAGCAACTCCGCTCGGTTATAAGTTCCAAACACTAATCTATTTTGTTATTTTTCTGGTAAAATTAACCCCTTAGATTCGACGATCTCTCTTGCGAAGTGAAAAAGTTAACGATCTTGACAATCTGGAAATTCCAAGTTCCTGCGACATATGAATTTGAATAAAACTACTGATAAATAACGTTTATACTCTTTCCTCTTATAGCCCTTTTAAGTCTTATTCGTAGTTTGTTCTTATCGTGAGATTGTATAAAGTAAGGAAAAAGGTCTAGACATTATTCGCTTTATTCGTAATATTTGAAATCGACCATGAGAATTAATTCTGCAAAGAAGTGATACAAACCACATGCCGATTTCATGATTTGTATTACAAACTTTAAAACAATTCATATGTACCGATTTACACATATTTTGCTTCTTTGAAGTCATTCACAAGTAAGCCACCGTTGAAGTGCCGTGATTCATATAAACCCGAATATCTCGTGGGGCCATGGGGATGTTAACTCATGACATATAACATATAAATACAACGTAATTCATTTTTAGACCTGAAAGAAATCCAGCAATAATGCGTATATGTTTGTGTCTCTCAGCCCCAATTTATTTATGAATTATTACTGTATTATTTATACAAACCCAACCAAAAAATAGAGAAATAGCCCCAAAACAGAATAATAATAACGTATCGGTATAGGTATTTTAAATGAGCAATTTCATGTCGAATTGACATAGTGCCAAATGCAAATAATTATTAGATAACCCGTTATTTATTATAGCCACATAAATATAAAATAGATCTAATTTCCAATTTTTAACGCTATTATATTTTCTGATAATATATATTCTACCTTTAATATTATAGTCTTCTTAGGTGCAGTCATCACCTTCTATGGCAGGCCCAGAATCCGACTGTTATCTCTCTGAATTTTATATTCTCGCTTTTCATTTTGCTATTGAGGGCGTGATCGTCATTCTTCTACATGGGGCGTATACAAGAAAAGGAAGGTCTAACAGACTTCTCGGGTTTTAAACCACCAGGCTACACTATGTAAATGATATGAATGTATCCACCTCGCTTTTTTGATATTATACTTCTTCCCGATAGTCACGCAAAAAATTTCGTCTATAACTTTAGGTGATAGGGCCTCTGACTTTGTTTTTTCTCACTTATAAAAACCTAATTTTAGAGGGCACAATTGTCAGATTATAATTGTCTACATAGCGAGAAGAGGAAGACCTGATGAGCTTCCCGCGGTTTAGTCCACTGAGCTATGGGATAAGAAATAGTTTGAAAGTATCCACCTCGAAATTTACATAAATACAAAACCTTGATTGGATTGTGAAAAAAAGTAAATATACTATAGCTAAGGTAATTAATATTAATATTCAGTCAAAAGATATTAAGTCTATCTCCTTCCTTGTATTTTTTCGCATAGAAGCCCAGTACTCATCAACATCAATAAAGCTGAGTGCACTCGCACTGCGCTGTATGTATGCAACAGGTTTTGGTGGTAACGGAGGAGTCAATGAATGTATCAAACTAGGCGTAAAGCTTTTGATTTTCATAGACTCGATTGGCACAATATCTTGATAAGCATTTTGGATAACCCATGTACTTCCATCTTGGGTTTCGGTTTTGAAGCATTCATTATTCCAATGATTTTGCATCAAGTCTTTGGATTTAATCTCATAACCCCATCTATGACACCCCTCCAAATATACCTTTTTTGGTTCTACTTCAGTAATCTTTACCAATCGCCAGCATTTGAAACATATAGCTATCTGACTTTTATGAACTTTAGGTCTTCGATAGCTGATATGTTCAACTCTTGGTCTATGGTTTTCAAGATAAGTTCTTATGCTTCCTTCTCCAAAAGAAGCGAAGAGACAATATACGTGATAAATGCTAGATCTTTCTCTAGAAAGTAACTCTTTCAAATCATCTTTTATACGAATAGCCCACTGTTGAGGTGTTTCACAGGGTCTAATAATAGCTAAATCATTGTATCTTTTTTCTAGTTTGCACATATTTTCGATACGATTATAGTTATAACTACCACATTCTACATAATATTTTTTGACATATTCCAAATCATATCCTGGACGAAGATTAATAGGTTTGGGTACCGATTTATTAAAAACCTCATCTATAATGATTTTAAGAGTTTGATTAGACATATTTATTAATAATTTATTGTTTTAGTGTTTTAACAATTTGTAGTGTTTTTAGTGATTTATAGCGATTTTTTATCAACCTATATTAAGGAATATCGCGATTCAAATTTGTAGCCAAAAACGAAAAAAAAATATAAATATATACTTCATAGATTTTATTTCACATTGACACTTTTTTAACTAATATATTACTCAATTGTGATCTCAAGAATAGCATTAGGAAAACGGTGGACAACTATTGAGACCACATCAATTTTTCTAGTTGCCGAGATGGGACACCATATCACCAGGCGCAGTAATTGTCAAAATATTCCACGAATGTTTTTTAATGGATTTGCTACTTTTAGATATTCACATAATTCAGGGTAATTGAACACGCCTATGATTCTATCTTGTTTGTATTTTTAACAGTGATAAAGTCAGTTGCCCGATCAAATATGTGGTTATATTTATCTGGATTGCATAGTGGTATGTACTGTGTGGGGCAAGTAGTAAACTTACCCATTGCCTTGCGCTGATTATTTTTCGATTTCTTAGCCATTACCACTTAGCTTTGTCTGATTTAATTAATCTCTTTTTTTCTCTAGCTATTCTTCTTTAATATTTATATTAACAGAGAATATCATTATTCAAATTTATATAGGTCCATCATTGAAATTATGAATTAGCTGAGACATTTTTTTCCAAAATTTGGTCCTAGCCAAGACATACTCTGTGTGGATGCTCTCGAGGTACAGTTAGATCGAAAACAATGAATTTTTTCTCACATAATGCCTTATCAATAATCTTAATCACATTACGCCAGTCATTAGCATATTGACGCACAATTCTGACTAGCTCGTCCGTAGTGCAGGACCCGTTAAATAGGCAGACATGTGTGAGATTTTTTCGTATTATCTTTGGGCAATCAAAGTAGCTCTGGGATACATATATTGAACTGACATTGTAGTGGCGCCCCTCAACAAAATAAGGGATGATCTTCTCCTGCACTTTCTTTGGATCAGCATATACATCTTCGAATATAGCTACTGTACCCCTATCTGGAGAAAATGAATCTATCTTAGGAATTTTATCAGGCTTCAAAGCTTGAAATGAAATATTTTCACAATATGGCTTTGGGCTATTAGCAATTATTTGATAGGCTGATTTGAGATACAAATATTTCGGCTTCTTGAGTTGGTGGCCGATTAATAGCAAATCATCATTCTTAATATATCTGCTTCCATTTTTCTTTCTATTAAACATCCGATAAAGCTTATTTCCAAGTATAAGATTAAGAACTTCATTAGTTTTTCCTGAATTAGTACGACCTGAAATTAGAAAAGTGAAAGGCCATTGAGGCGTACTAGAATAGCCATTATATTTTTGAGCATCTTTAACCTCGTTAATGTGGTATACGAGCCTATTAACTGGCTCAAGCTTTTTTATTTTCATATCAAATTAAGTATTAATAATGATATACTAAAAAATAATTTCTTTTAATCCAAGAATCCTTTCACGATTAGTGTATGCTTAATATAAGGAAAAAAATCACATGTATAAGGCACTTCGATAAGGCATATACCTTGGTTCTTGCATATATCCCACTTCTTCTGATCATACATCTTCCGTGATTTCAAATTTTCACTCTCCCGATGATAGAAACTATTGTGATGGTAGTGCTGGGGTTCCTGGTACTCAAAAGCCAGTTTTAATTCTTTGTTATACCCATCAAGATGCATCCCATCCAAAAATTTAGGCCTACATGGTGGGAATTTCTTACCTAGTAGATCTTCGAAAATGTATTGTATGGTTTTTTCAGTAGTATGGTGGCATAAGGGACACCACTTGAGTTTTTTCATAATATATTTTAGTGGGTACTCCCACTAATGCGCACCATTTCCACAAGACCAAAGATATGTGTTATAACCATTTATTTGTCCAGTCTTTCTTAGACATTGACCATTTCGCTTTCTAGCATAATTTTTCGCTTGATCTAACTCATTATTGGTAGGGGAGGCATATGCAATATGTACGGATAATATACTTTGAGGGGAAAGCTCAGGATCATGAGTCAAATGCATGAGTTCCTCTCTTATGAATCCTCACTTTGGTGAAAACTCATCACATTCGAGATAATATAAGACAGGCTTATTTTTTGATACTATGATTTTTCAGATTTTATAAATAGAAGGTGACCATATAGGATCAGTGCTTCTATGCACTGCTTCCATCCCACCTTCTCATTCAGCATTGGCAAGAAGATAGAGGACAGAATCACCTTTCTTTAAGGTTATTTCATCCTTGCCAATAGGTCGCTTATATTTTGTTAATGGTCTAGATTCTACTCGTTCTAATGCAATGGCTTTCACAGGCTCGAGCCCCCACTTCTCTGATTCTGGTTCTCTAATAAGACGTGTGGGGTAGTTATTCAGATAATCGATAACTTTTGGCAAATATCTAACCCACGCTCTTATTAATCTTGAATCGGAAGATATCGACTCAACAGCATACTGAATCTTATAGAGTATGTCCCCTTCCGTCTTATTAAAACGCTCCACCATTGCAAGACCTCTATGACTATAGGGCCCTACTACTCGAATCGTGATATTGTGCTCTTGCATAAATCGGGAAGTCTCGCCCATTCATTCTCGCCTATTATCTGTTTGAAGTAACTTAGGATAGGTAAGAGGATTATTAGAGTCATTATATACTTTTCTAAATGCTTTAGCAACTTCTGAACTCTTCTTTGAGGTAAGCGGAACTGATGCCTTATATTGGGAGGCACAGTCTATTATATTAAGCACTGCCTTATATATTTTTTCCTTATATTTATCATGCGTGAGAAATAATATATCAGCTTGATGTACATAATTTGGTTGTGTTATTTTCCCATAACTGACTCTAGGAATATGTTTAGATGGGGCATATAGATTTGGTATGATTGCTGGCATTCCAAAAAATCTTTATATTCACTTAAACGAAATCGATGCCCCTTTTTTTTGCATACATCTCTTAAGGATTTAGGGTTAGAATAATATCCAGTCGGATGATAATATATATCACGCAATATGAGATTTTTTTCTATTCTCTGAGTCTCATCTGGATCAATGTAAATAACCGGCTTCTCCATTACTTTATCCAATTATAGTAAATAAAAAATATGGAGGAATTACAACAAACTAACCAAGAACTCCATGAGGTAGTATCCCAATTGGCAGAATCAAATAGAAATTTTGAAAAACGTCTATATACCTTAAAAAGAATTATTGGCATATGGGAAGAGAGAATACGATTTCTTGAAGAAGAGTTAAATAACACCATCGAGCTTTCTAGACAAGACAAAGAAGAATTATTAGAAGAAATTTCAAAATTAAAAAGGATTGTTCACCAACTCGAGGAAGAAAATAAAAGGAAAGACAAAGAAATTTCTAATAAAGATAGATTAATATCAGAATTTGATGAACAAGAGACAAAATTAAAAAACAGAATACAGGAGATATCCAAATCTGTGAGCAATACCCCCAAAGCACAAGATTATACAACCAGATTAGTGAATGAGAATGAACAGCTTAAACGAGAAATAAATACGATAAGAACTAATCAAATGAATAGGATTAACAAAATAACTCAACAAAAAAGCCATATTACAGACCTGCTTTGTCAAAATTTTGCATTATCCTTATTAAGATATAGAGATAGATTGGAGCTTATAAATACCAGAGAGGCTTTGCAAAATGCAGAAGCACAGAACTTTAACGAAAATGAATCCAACTCTGATGAGTATTCTTTAGATATTTATAATTTTGATCAAAATTTAGATATGGGTACAATAGCCAAATTAGTCGATGCTATAGACCACTCCCTAAATGATACAACAATATGTCCAACTATTTTAAAAAATCAAATTAAGAGGGCAACAAGATCAATCTGACAAAATATGCTAACCTGCGACAGGATCTAGTAAACGAACGATGGAATCGTGATATATACAGGCAGAAGCGTGATCAAGCGATGCAGGAGCATAATCAGTTGCAGACTAATGCTCAAAATCAAGTAAAGCGAATGCTAGATAATATAGAAAGAAAACAAAATCGTATTGGTGAATTGTTAAGAGAAAAGCTAATCCTTCAGCTAATATATCGAAGGTGCAAAGCTGAAGTTGACTTGGCAGAATTTAATCGAGCCTGGATATTTAATCGGTATCAAAAATGGAAGGCTCGGTAAATTAATTCTCGCCAGAATATTTTAATTTTAAATCAACAAATTTTTGCACTTCAAAATAATCAACCTATAAATAACAATAAAAGAGGTATAGCAGGATATGCACCCCCAACTTACCACGGATATCCCAATGAAGATCCAGAGGAATTTATTGATTCTTTTCGTTCATATTTCGTGGCTGCTGGAATCGATGTAGCTGGTAGGCATGCCGATAGAGTTCGTACACATGGACTTTTTGAAACATGCCTTAAAGGTGATGCTAAAGATTGGTATGAAAGAACTATTTGAAGAAAAAATTGGAAATTGAGAAATTTACTGGATAACACTAGACAGAGCACTTTAGCTCTAATTCAAGGACGAACAGCAGCCCAGTTAGGTGCACAGGCCTTAAATCGTGCAAATGGACAAGCTGGTAATATTGTAATTCCAGCCCATACGGTGTTTGAAGAAGATTGGTCTTATGCCAATGGAAGACCAACAGATTGTTTACCCAATACACCCAATGCTAATACAGGAGCTACTGTAGTTGTGGTTGGAATTATGCTTGGCCAAGTATTATATTGGTTTAAGACCAATTATTCTACAGTTACTGCAGAGAAACAGCGAGTACTTTTTGGTTCAACTATCCAAGGGAGTGACCCAGTTGGCCGTTTCTATTCAAAATTGCGTAAATTGGCCAGACTTGCTGATATTGATGAAGGACAAATTCGATTGCAATTTCTTCGTGGGCTTTCGCCAGCCAATCAAATAGAAGTTCAACGTATGGGAATCGAAAAACCCGTAGATGAATTACTCCCAAAACTTGAAGAAATTGAAAGATTTACAGCAGAACAATTATCTGGAGCTTACCTGTATTCAAACTCAGATTCAATCTCTTCAAAAAAAGCTCATGAAAAGGATAATTACTCAGGTATAACCGAAACTGAAGTTAGAAACTTGATAAAATCTATGACAACACCTGCACAAACCCAACCCATTTCTTCACAATCAGTTTCCCAGGAAATACAACCAACACAGCCATCTAAAGCTTATTATGGACCACAACCCCCAGGAACGCACCAGACTATACGAGATACAAATATTGGTAGATTTTTACAATAAATCATTAGGGAAGTTCCAGAATTTATTCCTATTCCAAAGCCTGATTTACCCCCAAAACCAGTAATAAAAAAGAGTAAAGTTGACTCTGGTGAAGAATTAGCTAATTATATGAGTGAGTTATCAATAAATGCAGTTGTAAATAAAGCTGTAAAAAAAGCTATAAAGTCACAATGCCGGTCTCGAAAGAAGAAAAAGAAAAGCAAGAAGTTTAAAAAGAGTAAGGTTAATCTCGCTACTGTAGATCCGGATTCTGATTTAGATACTTCATCCAATGCTTCTTCTAGTGATAGCTCTGACTCTGATACAAGTTCAGAAGATTCTTCCGATTCTGGAGGTGATATCACTGTTAACTTTGCTAAGTTAAAAAAAAAGTGAAACAGAACTCTAGCTCCAAGAAATCGTCCTTTAAAAGGGTGTCTAAAACTTCATTGGAGGGAACTATTCGTAAAATTCTCCAAAGTGAACTTAAACTAATTTTTCCCGCAATATTTCCCCCAAATGCTAATTCTAATTTTAATAAAGCTAATACATCAAAACAGATACCTCCTATACAGAAGAAAATAGAGCCCCAAAGTAAAGATTTACTTATTTCTAAAGACTTACCACTAGACACAGAAGAGGAAGAGTACTTAGATATTTCTATGGAAATTGATTTTGTCAAGAAGAAGGAGCCACCCACAAGTATTGCAACCGTGAAGTGTAAAATTAAGCATTTAAAAATCCCTGCTATGACCCTCGATTCTGGAGCAGAGCTTCCTATAGTTACTGAAAATATTGTTGATCGTGTAAAGGCTAAAATTGATAAGTCTGAAACACATGATCTTAGTGGTATCGCCACTGTTCCGATTGAATCTATTGGAGTAGTTTGTGATTTACCTATTACTCTAGCTCCTGGACTTACTATTCATGAAGATTTTGTTGTTGTGAGATATAACAAGCCAACTTTAATATTTTCTAACCAGCTTTTAAAGAAATACAATTGTGCTGTGGATTGGGGTAAAAACGAATTAAAGTTCCCTCATAATGGAAAGGATTATATCATTCCAGTAACCATGTATAAAGTTAAGAATAAGCTTAAAGTAAATTGCACGAACATTACTTCTGAATATGAAAAGTCTGTCCCTTTAGAGTCTATTTCGCAAGACTCACAAGACTTAAGTAAGAATGATGATATATTAAAAAAAAATCTATGAACTATGGAGAGCTTGAAAAAATGCTATATATCACTCTCAAGTATAACGCAGAAATCAATGAATATTGCGAAAGACTACAGACATGCTATGATAAACTTCTTTAAAAATAGGTTAGTTATTTTCAAAGTTATACTTTCACATTTGCTAAATTTTTATTGCTTCTTTCAACCATTTCCTTATACAATGCATGTAATTTCTCTTTATTTATATCTGAGCCTTTTAAATTCACGGGTTGAGACTGAATAGTAGATAGTATTAATGGAGCTAGCTCATTTTTGGGTTTTGATTTTTTTCCTCCATATTTTTTTGCCTTACCTTCTTCTGGGGTCGAATCAGTAGATTTGCTAGACTCTACCCTCATATTACATATTTTATTTTCTAGTTCTGTAAAGGGGGAAGCATTTTGGTCATGTATATCTGACTCAATCTGTTCTATCTTACCAGTCTGGGAATTCTTAACCAAAACAGGCTGAGATAGAATAACACCTTGCTGGAGACGTTCTTTATTATCCCATATTTCATAAACATGCTTAGGTACAATATGGAATTTACTAGCCATTTTTTTTTGATGCATTAGGTATTTTACCCCTGGATTCTCTAATTTTCTTGATATCAGCTTCTGATAACAGGGTTGCCTTGGTATCATAAAATGTATTATGAATACGGGCTACCATCTTCACTAGATTTTTTTATATACTAGAAAAAAAAATAATAATCTTCAATAAATATCAATGCGTATCAATATATATATATCAATATTTTTCAATGTGTATTAATATATTTCAATGCCCACTAATACGTATTAATACTCTTCAATATATATTAATATATTTCAATATACACCAATGCGTATCAATATGTATAGTATTTGTAAAAAAAATAAATTGCAACATATTTTTTTCCTGCTATATAACCATGCAAAAATTATGTCCAATATATATACATTAAAAGATATAAAAGATAGAGGACACTTGCTAGGTAGCATATATGAGCAAGAGCTTGAAAAAAAATTAAATTCTGCTATCGAATATAACTCTAAAATTAATGATCTCAATGAAAGGTTGCAGGCTGAAAATTCAAAATATTTGGGGCGAGAAAAGGAGTTTCAGCAAATTAGTACTAATATTAGAAATAAGATTAGCCAGATAGATATAATCAATACTAGGCTTAGATCCCAAGTTACTTCTGAACGGATGTCCCATAATGAACTCGAAGCTGAACATTCTGCCAAAATAAAATCGCTCAAATCTTCAATTAAATCATTGAAGAGAAAAGCAACCTTGGCCCAGAAAGCTTCATCCCTTGCTAAAATCAAGATTCTTTCTCTCGAAGCTAAGATAGATGAATTAGAAACCGAGCTGAGGAACCTGAAACAAGAACAAGTGGGTTCCCCACTACGTGCATCCCAGGATTCGAATATAGTGAGAGGGTTACTAGAGGAGCCACCCCAAATAAACTCATCTGAAATTGATTCTCTTAGGCTTGAATTGGGACGGGTAAAGGAGAATTTAAATTTAAAAAAACATGAAATAGAATATATGGAAAAAGGGATAGAGGCAACAGATGTCATATATAAACGGGAATTAGATAGATTGTCTTCTCTGCAATTAAATTTAATGGAGGAAAATTCTCACCTCTGAGGTTTAGTGTTAAAGAAAGATAATGAAGTGGTCTCAGAAGGATCAGCTAAGCATGTGCCTCCCCTTATGAGCAATACAAAAGAAAAAAAGAGTGAACAGGTTCTAAAAAAACCACAACTTTCCACTCTTAACCCTCCACCCTCTCAAATATTTTCTGTAGGTGGTGCAGAAGCCGAGTCTTTACTAGCAACTACTCCTACCATTGCAGGTTCCTTAATGATGCCAATGATAATATATTCCATACTTATCTTACTACTAATTGCAATTATATAGATTGTAGTTGGGAAAAAAATATAGAAAAAAAATAACCAATACAGACTAGCGATTTATATCTCCGGACATATCTGTGGCCGGACTATGTAATCGGAGGACCGGGCTGGAAGAGGCCACCCCGTGACCAGATCGAATATAGGAATTGAAGTTAGCGCATATTATTGCAGGAGAAAAAAATATATCCCTTAAATTGTAATGCAAGCAAATTTGCCTGCGAAGATTTTTACTAATTTTTTTAATATTTAAATTTTTTAATAAAATTTTGAATATTAATTTTA